GGTACCCTGCCTCGGTCCGGGTACCCTGCCTTGGTTTCCTCTCTTCAATTCAAACACTCACAAAAGGCTTTCAAGAGTTCAAAATAATTCAAGCAGCTGCTCCTAGGCCTCTCCTAGCTGGAATACTTCCACAGGCATCTTGTCCAACTCTCTCTCTGACTGAGAGGTCAGTAAGAAAATCTCCTCTGCTGTTCCCCTGCTTTCTCAGGGTCCCTTGCAGGAGCTTTATACTAGTTTCCAACTGGTCTCAACACCCTTTTTCCCCACAAGGTCTTGTCTTTGCTCCAGCTCTCTGCCTGTCTCTCACTGGCCTTTTAAAGAAATCACCTAGCTTATCAGGATGGGGGGAGGAGGTCAAAAGCTAATTCATCAAATGTGTGGCTGAATCCCATTACCCTTAAAAGGCCAGCCAAACTCTGACAGTCATAAATGGATTAAGTACCAGGTACATAAGAAACTACATTGCCAGCTCTAAACTGCCAAGACAATTGTGCTCCTCTGGGGCAATACAGGTCATATAGGCCAGATGAGACATGTTGGGGCAAGGGGATCCAGCTGTGGAACAAGCTTTCAGAAGATAATAGACTAATCTAGAATTAGACCACCTTTAAAGGTCATTCTGCAAGATCTACCTTTTGTAGTAAATGTTCTGATCATGGTAAAAAAAAAAAAAAAAAAGCTTAATCAATCACCATCTGCCCCCCTCCCCCCAAAAAAAATATCCCTCTCAAAGCAGAGCTTCCTGTAACCGGGGACAGGAAAAAAACTGAAGACTTCACAAAGCAAAGTCCACTATGGACCTTGTCATGCCAATCAATCTGGAAGTCACTCAGATTATTCACTGATGGGACCACTACAAAGACTTGAAATGGACTGATAGCTAACTTTTAGTGTAAATTTTCTGGAATGCCAGATATTCTACTAAAACCACAAAAGAAAAATTTCCTTTTCTTCTGACAAAATCTGCAGGAGACTGAATCTCTTCCTCAAAGAGTCTTTTACTGGAGAAAGCTCCCTCTCATATTCCTCTGAGCACTATAGCTCCAGTCCAGTTGAGAAATGGTTGTATTACAATTTAGTAGGCAGAGTTTGTTAAATTGCCATATTGGATGAAGTGTGGATCCACACCAACCACCTAGTCACCAACATGTCACTGCTCAGGAAAGATTACAGTTCCTCCACTGGGATTCAGAAGAGAGAGTTTCACAAGTTACATTATCTGACCTTCTAGAATAGTGAATAGCATCAAAGTCAGAACTGAAATGAATCTCACAAGTCTATGGTGGAAGGGGAGAGAAAATATTATTTGATTCTATTGTAAATTCTCAGGGTAAGTGAAATGGAAGCAGGAAGGGCAAAGCAGAGGTAGAGATCACTATGGTGGGCTGTATACGCATCAGTAATCTTAACTCTGTTCTACCCTTACACCACTCTTTTCTCTTCTGAGACCAACAGACTTTCTTGCTATGAACCACCATCACTGTAACAGATGCTGCTTTGTCTCTGATGAAGACAGAAACAATCAGGAAAGACCAAAAGAGTGGATCTTAGAAGAAGTGTCACAAACCAAAAGTTGAGAACTCCAACTTCATGTCAGATCACCCGAGAGTTCCCAAAAAGTTCACCGTACCCAAGTATTTACTGCAAAATAACTGCACACCTTGTATCTTAAAGAACATTCCACTCTATGTAGAATGGTAGTTTGAAGGAAAGACTGACATCAACAGATAATGTAAAAAAATTGCCTTTCAACTGATTACTTATATATACACACATCAGGCATCATAAAGGACTTCAGCAACTCTGTCTTGCCAATCCCTTAGTTTTCTTAGGGCCACATTTCTTTCTTCAAATCCTTTAAGCAGAATTACCTGAGACACCAGCTTTTAAAACAATAATAATAATAATAAATTGTAAAGTTGTGGCATTTTAAAGTATTTACTTTTTTATATGCTGTACTACACTATTCTACAGCAATGCAATAGTAACATTTTCTACAACACCAGGAGGCAGATTGACTGGTACTAAAAGTCAGATTTATACACATACTGTACTCTCAAAAAACCTGCCTTTGGTAAACTTTAAAATTGCTTATGAAGTCCAATTTATTTTTCTGTTGAACTGTATATTGTTTCCAATGCTGAAAAAAGTACTTCTATATATGGAGGCAAGTCAGCAAAAAATCATAACTCTCTGCCAAGCATTTATTTAATTTTAGTTTGTATTTCCAACAATAATTATATGGCAGAAATTTTAAATTTAGAAGGACTTATAATAATTATATTTGGAGACAGTGGTAGAAGCCTACAGCCAAGGTCATAAAGTCGAAGTGTGCTTTTGGACATAATTAGTGTAAAAGAAACTATAAGATGTTCTATGTTTTCAACACTTCTGATATTGCCAAAATAGGTAGAGATGGTGATGGTTGTTTTTGCAAATTGAATACCTTTCTGCTAGATACCGAACTGAAACAATCCATTTCACACAATCCAGCTAGCTATTACATGTCAAAAACTTTTGTTAATGAATTACTACAGGATTAATTAAATTAATTAAAGGTGAAAGTCACTGTATTTTTATCAGCTCTCTCTTCACCCATCTATAACTTCCTAGCTAACCCCTGAATGTAACTTATTCCTTTTATTTTCAGGCTTCATATTAAGTAAAAAGTTCCTTCAAAGTTGTCTTCAGCTGAATTACATAGTATCTATTTCTACAGTTTGGATAAAAAGGCAGAATTTCTCAGCTTTATTAGGGCTTGTCTATATGGGAACATCGATGAAAATTAAAGTGAATTAAGTAAAGGTGTGAATTTGAAATAAGTTAGTTAAGCTGCATTAAACTCCTATGTGAACACCATCACTCAGAATTCAAGTATCCTTAATTCGACTTAGCGTAATTCAGTTCCAAAGTGAAACTACCAGAGTAAACAGACATGTCAAATAGTAGAAGCATTTTTTGTACATACTAACATTATTTAATCCTTGTAAATATTCTTGAAAGTAACAAATAACCCATATGACAATTAAAGATGCAACATTTCTCACCAAAAATCTTTCCCCATTTTCATTAAAGAGCTGGAGAATGAACTAATTCTGAAATGTAGACTTATATCTGAACTTGCAATCTTCTCCCAACCTCTTGCTCCATAAAAATAGGCTACATCAGGGGTGGCCAAACTCTCTGGCCCTCCGAGCCACATACAATGATCTTCAGAAGTTTGAGAGCCGAGCTGAAGCCCCTAGACCTCCCTCCTCACTGGGAAGAAGCCCCTACCCCACCACCCTACTGCAAGGCAGAGGTCCTGAGTTCCCCCCTCCAGTCTGGTGAAATGGGGGCAGCATAGGAGACTTGTGAGCTGCACTTTAATGGTAAAAGAGCCACATGTGGCTCATGAGCCACAGTTTGGCCACCCCTGGGCTAGATGATCCTTCCAATACCAAGCTACAGAGTTGGACTAGAATCATTCTAGAGAGGCTATGCCAACCAATTGACTGCAATAGCCTCCATTGTTTATTCAACTCACATCCCTTCCCGAACAGCAAGAGAAGACCAAACACACAAGACTCAGAAAAAATAATCCTCCTTTTGTTGGTTGACATACTATAAAATCCATGCTCGGAAGCCCACTATTAGATATTTTTATATCTTCCCAAATAAAGACTGAAATCTCACTAAACAGACAATTCATTTTTCTAACGGACATGATAAACACGTCTCTTATACAAGCAAGAGGTAAGTATTACTGAAGAATATATAATTACAACCAGAGAATTTGACATGTGCTGCCAAAATACTGATTTAGAAACAGAAACTTTAAGGCCAAATCCTGCCATCCAATACAAGTGTACATGTATGTTGACTTAACTGAAAAGAGAGGGGGGCTAAACATGTATATCTAAAGGTAGAATTTAGCTTTTGAAAAGTAATTTTCTCAGTTATGATTCTTTAATTATCACCTTTTTAATGACAATGTATGCCTCAAAATATGATAAATGTAAATACTGCAGAATTGAATACAGAAATACAAATACAATATGAATGATGCTTGGTCACAGGTGGGAAAGAAGTGCCTATGTTTGTCTAACAATGAAGTCAAATTAATTTTTTTTAAAGGAACTGTATTCCTAACTAGGTGTAATACACACATCTGAGCTCCCATCTTGCACATTATATCAATAAGGGAAGCACACAAAGGATGATCACAAAAGCAAGAGACACTGAATGAATTACATCCTACTTTAGGAATTAGAAATTATTCAGAATCCTGCCTACTAAATGTCCCCCCAAACATTTAAATTGAGTTTCACCCACAGGCTTCTCTGGGTAGGTATACTAAACATAATGGGGTGGAGGGGGGGGAATCTTTTACCTTTGTGTTGAAGCTCTTAGGAAAATAGAATTTTTTCAATGTTACAACATTAAAAGAGAGTTAGCAGTTTTTACAAATAGCACTTGTAAAAGCACTACTAGAAGTAAAAGATTTAGAGAAAGCTTCTATTTTTTCAGTTTGTTACTTATGCATTTGATCAGTGTAGTGGGGTCGTTTGGTTGGTCAGTAGGCCTACAGGTCTGGGCCTTCAACTTCAGTCTTTCTATCAGTTCAGGGTGTCCCAGTCTTCTAGATGAGGTCCTGCTGGAATGTTCTCTTTGCCGATAACCCCTAGATCTACTCTTCTGGGCGCCAGGAGTCATAGTTCTGGGCCAGGTAAGGGGACCCTGATGATCTCTCTTTACCAGGTTCCAGCCCAGGGCCCTGAAAATGCAGCAGCTTGCTTGCTCTCCTTCCCCAGGCCACTTCCTACCAGACACTGCATCTCAGTTTGGGATGTGGTTGTAGCTGACAAAGTATTTACTTCAAAACTCCAAGTCTAGGGCAAATGCCTGCAGCCCTCTTGTGCCCCTTGCCTGTGGTTCTCCCTGCCTCTTGGGGAGCATCTTGGGATATGGGGAGGGGAATGGGACTCATAGCTGGATCCCCTTGGTAGAAGCTTCTTCACCTGTTGCTGCAGAATGGTGCTCCTCCAGGGAATGCCCTCTCTCCTTCTTCCATTGTCTGGAGCTGTTGAAGCACGCTTTACACGGATCTTCTCCACCGGTGCATAGTTGGCATTATCCAACAGGCAGTCTTTCCAAGCCCAGTACTGCTCCAGCCCTTCCCCTGCCTCAGCCTCAGCATGGGGGTTTGTAAATCCCATCAGTCAGTACTGTGTATTAAGAAAGTTTTCCCCATTTTGTATGGAGCTTTTACTCAGCTACACAGAAGAGAAAAATATTAAAGCAGGAAAATGATGTGAAACAACAAAAGTTGGGGGACTGGGACAGATATAGAAAAACTATTAACTCATTTTTTAAAGCCTAATGGTCTCCCTCTAACGAGATGATTTATTTAACATCAACATTCAAAAAGGAAAAGAAGTAGAGAGTATTACATATGTGCAATGTAATTAGTTAACTTTTTTTGCATTAGCATTGGCTTTGTTTGGGGGAGTAAGGAGATTATATTGCTTTTACTGATATGAGAACTATCACCAGTGCCTTTTTAGAAAGCTTGTCAGTCCCCCGGAGCAAGGACCTTTCTTGGAGCCACAGCCATGGATGCTTCAACAATACCACAATCTACAGTATGGTAAGAGGTGTTCAGCTTCCCCCTCTATGGCCAAGTCAGTACTATGCCACTAGTGGAGCGCTCTGCTGGTATAGCTACACCAGTAACTGCACTTTACCAGTATAATGGCAACTACTAAGAGCTTTTGCCAGCACAGCTATCTCAGTAACAAATCACATCTATCATATGCCTGACTGACATAGGCATGCTGGCAAGTTCGCAGTGTAGATATGACCTGCATCAGAGACAAGAAGTTAGCAGTGGCAGATTCACAGACAGGGACCGCGGCCAATTTGGGGGCCCTTGCAGGAGTGCTGGAACTCTGTCCCCGAGGCCTGCCACCCTGGCTGCTCCTCTTCCCCCAGGGTCCTCCCACTCTGCTCCTGCGCTGCATGGGGCAGGGCTGGCCCAAGCCCCACCACTTGCCCTTCCAAGCCCCTTTTTGGCAAAACTGGCCTTTAGTCCTGTTAGCTCTTGCAAACTGATGATCCTTGGCAAGAGCAAATCGTATAAATTCCCAGTTTGCCAAAAAAGTTGGGACATCCAGGGAAGGGCTTAAAAACGGGACATATGGTCATCCTAGGCTGTTACAAGAGCTGCCCAGCGAGCCCAGGCCGCTGTCCGGAGCCCTGGACCCTCCAACTGCCCTGGGCAGGGGGCGTGGTGCTGGACAGCAGCCCTCAGTCCATGTTCCTGCCACTCCCAGGGCACCCTGCACTGGGCAGGTGGAGGCTCCAGGACTCCTCACAGCAGCCCGGGCTCCCTGGGCAGCTCTTACCACAACTCCACAATAGTGGATATTGATGTTTCAATGTAGTGCTTTTCTAAGAGATTATAAATCTGAATAATTTTTAGAGCAACAGCTGTTTACAAAGTTCTATCATATTTTTAAGAAGGTACTTCAAGTTTTAGGTCAGTAGGAGCGATAGATCAGTCCTGTGTTTGAAAGGTACAAATTTAGGATCTTGAGTCCAACAATCGCTATCATTCTTCACTCGCCACCATCTCTGTCCCTGAAGGCTTACCTCAGTTCTCTCAAGTCACTAAAAGAGCTTTCATCTGACAATTTGCACAGTATGCCTCAAAATACATTCTAGAAATCTCTTCTCAAAACCCATTTTTAAAGAATTTCACAAGCCTTATTCTATTCTTCTTACAGATTTCATGATGGAATTGTATCTATGCAAATACTTACGTAGTATGCAATTAATAGTTTATTCTTCCTACAGTTATAAAAAATTCCATATCTGACTGACAGTTTCCATTGTAATTTGAGGAAAAGGTAACTCATGAAAAGGAAGATAAATACAATGGTAGCCATTAGTTTTATTAAACATATCTTGTTTAGAATGGAACCTGCAGATAATTGTGTGATAGGTCAAGTTATTTAAATAGTTAGGACTAAATGTAAGACAGACATGTATTGCCTATACATTTAGAAAGGTGTCTACGCATTTAAAAATCATCAGGAAACAGAAGCATGGAGCTTTAATTTCAGTTTGGTCCATCAATTTCTTGTTTGACTGTAAATTTCATTCTGTTTCTGCCTCTAAAAATAAGCTTGGGTAAGAGCAGAGACAATATTGCACTAATGAGGATTTTGCATGACGCTCTTGCTAAGGCGAGGCAGCACGTGTGGAATGCCACATGAAAGTGCAAGTTTAGAGGAATCTTACACCTTATTTGAACGCTCGCAAAACTGAGGAGAATTGACAGAACCAGAAAGTTACATCCACTGCCTAATCTATAAACCTTCAATCTAAAATATTAATCTCAGCCTTCATTTCCAGCAACCACCCTACCACAGAAAGATATTTTGATCAGCTCCAACGTTCCAGACAGATCAACATGAAAAACTAGCAGCATTTTTGTTAGCTGCATCTCCAAACGTCTTCTGTTCTATCACGTCATTTGAAATCTGCTATTGCAATTATTGGATAGGCAATTTTCAACACTGGAAACCAAGTTTTATTACATTATAGTGAAGGTTAGCTGTAAGACTTTGTTTTCACTAGAGACTGTTTCAGGCTGAATAAGCACATGGGGGTTTGAATTAAGACTGTACAGGCAACACCACTTCTGCCATTTGCTAACTTCTGAGTGCTTGCCTTGGCATCCCTAATATTCTTTTAATGCATCTGTGTGTGTCAAGAACGAAATGTGTTAGTCTTGATCATATCCCCTATGGGTATTACCTATAGTTCCCCATAAACAATTCTGAATTATTGCCAAGCTTTGCTAAAGAAAAGTTTAGGACTGGAATGGCAGGTGTTGCAGGTTCAGAGTGCAATTCATTCGTATGGTGTGTTGAAAAGCTTCTCAGTGCCAGTTTGTGTTGTACTCAGTTTAAGACAATGTTAATTCCTTACTTAAAAGCAGAGGCGATGCCTGTGGTGTGGGGGGAAATGCAGGGTCACGTGCTCCACCCCGCCCCAGATTCGCTGCTTGGCTTGTACTGAGCATGCTCAGTAACACTGCTGAAGCTGGCTGCCCTCACGCTGCCCTGCCCCACCCCCCACACACACTATCAAAAGACATGGGTCATCTCTGCTTGAGAGAGAAAGAAAATCATCCACATTTTAGAAACAAAACTGAATTATACTCTGTAAGTGAAGCATATTTTATTAAAGATGATATTCCATACAGCACAGATATTAAATACAGGTATATTTTATAAGCTATAACAGGTTATAAGCTTTTCCTTACTGTAGGCTTTGACACCTTCCTTTAAAAGGGAAGAACTAGTATGTGGAGGGGTGCATGTTGTTTTCATCGGATTATGTCATTGCATTTTAGTTCCTATATACAATTGCAGCATCAACTACATAGAAACTGCTTAGTCACATCTACAGTCAGAGATTCCATCGTAGCAGGATGTATTGAAGTATTGTCAGCACTCATATCTGCATACTAATCACTGTATGAAATCTTACTAATAGTTCCATTTCAGGGGGTTTTGGCGGGGGGATGGTGAGTGGGAGGGAGGGGATTTTTGTGTCTCCTCTGCACTTCCAAACACGAATACTAGAAAGAACCTATTAGCCGGAGGACCAAGGCTTGAAAAATCCATTCATCAATAGAAAGTAGCAAGCATTCTCAGGTGAGCTACTGGATCAAATTAGTAAAGAAAAAAAGCTATACTGAAGATGACTGAAGACTCAGGAAAACAGAAAACTATCCTTTTATATTTGAAAGGTTCTCCATAGTTATAAAGACTAAAATACTTTTTTCTTTTGAAAAGTGTAAACAAGTTCTGCAGAAATGTATTTTGTTAGATTTAAATTGATTGTGTAGGCCCCACTACAAGCCAGAAAAAGATTTCTACTCACCAACGGCAATTGGAGATTTCATGCTCTACATTTCCAAGAATATTTATCTTCATAATTATCACTTTTGATAATTTGCCTTAATATAGGTATCAACAGAGAATTACATTTCTGCTCATTAAACAAATCTGTGAAGATGTGAAACTGGATGAACTTGTATGGAAATAAATGTATTATTCCCCCACAAATATTCATCCTCTCAACACACCGGAAAAGTAGACATTTTAAGCCCTTTACTGAGTCTCCGTTCTACTCTTTCCTAACTGCGCTCCTTTATTACGAGTTTGAAATCTGTTTTTCCATTAGTTAACTAACAAACTGCTAGTCACACTTCCTTTAATAACAAAATGAACTACTGTAGTATTTGTTAGCAATGCTGATAAAAAGTGATATACAACAGGGCGGTAACCAAAAGCACTAAAGTTACACTTTATTTCACATATGGAGTAATTTGTGTACAGAACACGTAAAAAAAAATATGCACAAACACATTTTAAGATTTTAAGAATTCAATCTAGCCAAAAAAGGTAGTTTTTTTACACTTAGAAAAATATCTTACTACTGTGTTCCCAGAGTTCCACTGCTCTCAACTGATATGTTTAAATATCTTTGCATCAATTATAACTTTTCAGTTTTCCGAATCAGTTAAAAATGCTAAATTAAACTTTTCAGCGGAGACTTTTATGGGGGGAAAAACAGCATAACACAATGTGCTTTAAAAAATAACTCACCATCAAAGCTGACATTTTATTGGAAGCATTATAACGTTACCATTACATGAACAGGTGAGCTAGTGTTAGCTATTTCCCCCAAAAAATTGTCATTCCCCTTTTTACAGGTTTTCAAGAGGGCACTAAGTTTGAATTATATCCAAAAAACACACCCTTTTTTACATGTTTAAAATCTATAGCTCAGGACACTTTTATAATGCTCTGTGAACACATAGGGTACTAGCTAAAACACTCAAAACTATGGAGTCTGAATGAAGGTTAAAGTAGTTATTTAAAATAAGAAACTTACTTCCTGAATTGATGTTTCTTTAAAAAAAAAAAAAGTCACAATCATTTCTGAGGAATGAACATGGTTATTCCTGTACACACTGAATGTGAATCTGCTTCCTGTTTGGTTCATTCCTAAATTCATCTCTTTATAGAAGGTATCTGAATAAGTGATAAGTTAATACATTATTTCATTATGAGGTAATATAACGAGTGCAAATTTGTTTAGATACAAAGGGACCCAACTCAAATGACTCCAATTTAAGTTACTGGATTCTCAGTAACTTTTTAAATTTAGGCCATTTATGGCTATATACAGATTTAGCAAGCTAACTTTACGCACCCATTTTTTAAACAATTGGCCAAGGTTGTTAAGGCAAGCCAATACTGCATCACCTTACTCACCTTTATTTTTGGTGTGTTTCTTATTATGCTCTCCTCCTTCCTATTAGAGTAGAACTTAGTTTCATTAACATACAGACAACTCTTACTATGCAATAGGTACAACGTAAGTGTTACTATGAGGTTTGAAGAGAGAGTGGGGGCAATTAAAACATGTAAAGAAAAAGTCATAATATTGTGCACAGAGAGTTAGGTGCCTAACCAAATAGGTAATTTGCAAAAATAATTCTCTTACTCAAATAGTGCATGCTCTGGAGCATCTAAGAAAAATATCAAGCTTTGCATGCATATATATGTTTTAGCCACAGCAATGTATGGTGGAAGATAATACAGCAGGGGAAAATTAGGGGTTTTTATGGATTCAAGTTAGATACAAAGGACACCCACACTAAAATCAAACCAAGCTTTCACTCCTGGATAGCAAATCCCGTAGTCAGGATTGCTATTATATCTGGTATTAAAATGTAAATTACTGAGAAGTGTGATTAAACATGACATCACATGGTCCATATTTATTTTGCAATTTCCTTATAGACATTTGCAAGATTTTTTTTAACTACTTTATATTTGAAAGTCAAGATGTGATTCTCCTTTGTACATATACCATGCAAAATAAAAGTTTTGGAATCTGAGCACAGCTGACAATGTTATTGGCTTCTCTACAACTATTACTATAAATGTTGTAGTGCAGACAATGATAAAACCTTATTTTTGTTTGTAGAAACAGCAGAGAAGTCTTGGAAAAGACCCTCAGAATAAATATGTTCAATCACATAATCACTCTTTTAACCTTAATCACATTAAAATGTCATTACCAGAATTCTACTTATGGCAGAAAATTCTCTAAATTTACCTACAATTTATGAAACCCAGAAGTGTACTACAGTGATTACTAAGTTTTAAAGAGAGGATCCTAAATAAAAGTTTAGCTCTCAATATGTTTAAAACATAAGTTATTCAGCTCTGCATCTAATTCTATTATACATAAATAGTCATCTCTTTCTCCTCCCCCACCCCCAAAAACTCTCATGATCCAGAATGAACTGTGGGGAGGGGTTACAGCCTAGTAATTCTAGCCTTCAAAAAGAACTTGAAGAACCAAACAGACAGTGCACAATACACAGCACCATAAAACTAAGGTCTAGTTTGACTAGCACCAGTTAACTAATGAGAAGCTACAGAATAACTTTGATGACAATGTGAAAGATCAGTGTCATTCCCCTCCTGAATAAACATTTTACAATAGCAATCACGGAATTCCAAGAGGTGGAGTTTTCTTGACATATTTACACCCCATTGGGAATACACCGTTGTCTGTGCCTAGTTTATAATGTTACCAGAAATTTAAGATAAAATACAATCTCATCTTATGCTGGGGTACTTATCTTCTATGAGAGAAATCCTAAACTATCATAATGCAACCAACAAGATTACAGTATAATTCACAAAAAATCTTAAAACAACTATGTGCTGGCTGACAGGCTCAATTACTTCTCATGTCACAAGACTATTGCTGAACTAAATGGAACAAACAATTCTCTTACAATAGCAAGTCAATGACAGACAATCTTACAAGCTCAAGTAGGGCTGTGGACATCTTTTTGTGATTTTTATTTTTAAAGATCAGATAAGTTTTGTACCATTACACAGGAAGACTGAATAAACTGTCAAATGGTACTTCTGATACGAATAACTATTTTGCTTATTCTAATTTACACAATATTATTTTGTTTAACCCCTTTAACTAGAAAAGCCATGCATAAATACGCATCACTATGTATTATAATGAAAATATACATTGTTTTGATCCCATCTGTTAAATGAGAAACTCTCTGTATTTAAAAGAGAACTCAAGAATATTTTTGGCTGTGAATAGCTCAGAATATTGCATTTCCTCTGTAACAGTTTAGGACCTCATAAACACCTAAACACTATAAAGAGATGCATTTCCTGATGATACCCTAAACTGCTGTAAGGGAAACATAGGACCCTGCACTGGAGTTTTTGACAAGTAAAAATAATAATAATTTTCACATATTTTGTTGTAAACGGAATAGTTCCTTTTTAGATCCACATTTTACGTAATTATTTTTTAAAAGATATGTCTCTTGCCTTAAAGAAATTGAAAAGTGGCCAAGTCACAGTTTAATCTTTTCCCTTACACTGGCTGTGCTAATTAATTCATGTCATTTTCTTAAGGTAAAATACAGGTTTTAAATAAATTTGCAAGTAGGTTACCATTTTTTCATAGAAATAAAAATTAGTTAAAAAAGGCAAAAACGTACCCTTAGACAAAACTAGAGAAAAAAAATTCCCTTTCACAAAAATGTTAGGTCACATTAGATTTTAGGGGAGCCCTTTGCAAAGTAAAGGCTCAGTCCTGCCAAGTTACTCTCATACCCAGAGTTATTCCTGCATAGAATCCTACTACGACTATGTAGGATCAGGACCTAGTGCTGGAAACTGTGTCACATCGGAATATTTTTATACATATACACATATACACACAAACACACACACAAAAGTCAGTCTCCTGTAATATAAAGATATAAATAAAGTATGTAACTGAAGTAGAGATGAATACTGTGGTGTCCTAACCAAATTCTAACTTAGGTAATTAGTTTGCCTACCTAAAATTCTCCCTGGGGTTTCATTTGGAAACAGTATTCTTCTTCAGTTCCATCCTAAAATGTTGTGCAGTGTTGCTGTGCGTTGTTAAACAGTAGCCGTTTTACATCCCAGAAGTGGCTCCATTTCAGTGATGGATGAAGTGGTCCCTGTTACAGTTTGTATATCAATTTGTTAAGTTTGTAAAGCATTTGGGGAACCTTCAGGATGAAAGGCACTATACAAATTAAATATAAACAACATTAGTGCCCATTCATCCTCTTCAGAATAGGCCTAAAACCAATCCACACATACAAAGCAATTCAAGATTTACACAGAGCTATATCACCAGTAAAAGCTAAAAACCTCTCATTAATGACTGGTAAAAACTAAAACAAATTTGTAATGAAATGTCCTAGATTCAAATCTGTTAATTTGAAAGGGACTGAGCATTCTAAGCAAAGGTGATTATCAGCCTCAATCATGGATTCCACTTGAGGATGAACTCTTAAAAAAAAAAACTACCACACATTTCCCTAAATTTTACTGAATAATATCAGCTTTGCAAGCTAACCAAAACAGCAATTCTGCAGCATACAACAGTGATATACAACTACAAAGTGATAAAACAAGCAAGTAAGAATTAAATGTATTGACTGAAACTGTTAATGGAAATTTGCTGTCATTTCATGGCAGTTAATTTTTCATTTATTTTCTCAGTGTCCAAGAAGTCAACTAAGAGTTTCACAAGCAGGAAGGAGCAAACAGTCCTATCAAATCAGGGAAAAAATTTTACCGAATGTGTCAAGATGCAAGGGGGCTTTGCCCCTTCCTATCACCTGCCCTTGCAGCATTCCCGAGCTCAGCCTCACTATTTACTATTTCAGTACAAAGCAACTAAAAAAAAAAAAGGCACTGAGCTTGTTAGCTGTACATATTAGAACAGCCCAACTACTGAAAGGCCTCATTTATCTTTTGTATATTGGCATACTCTGGGCCTCCGTGTGGTGCACTTTTGCAAAGGTGAAAGTCACTTATACTATTCTTTTTCCTCATCATTACTGCGCTGGGAGATCAACTCACTAACAAGACCACTAATTTATCTTCATTTCGACAAGAATTCATACTCCTAATTAATTCATACTCCGCAGCTAAAAACGTGAAGCATATCCTGGTCTCATTAAGACAGATCATTTTCTCACAAGACACTGACAAGCAGATTTTTGTCTCCACTGGTTTTGTAACAGGAAGTTTGTTCAAACCCCAGATCTGAAGAGGAAACAATGCGTGTCAACATCAAGCCAAGACAGCAGCAGCTAGTGAGGCATGGAGACCCTCCCCCCAGTTTTTGTCCTCAAACTGAAGACACGGAACTGGCTCACTGGGCCTGTCCCTATAGAGGAGAGGACCCACGCGGAGTTGGGGGAAGCGAGAGGAGAGCCCGTGCCCAAACCACCTGGCTCTGCCCACAGGGGAAGTTCCTCACTCAGATACTCAGGAAGGAAAAGGCCACAGAGACCTTCACACCAGCCTCCCCCTCGCCCCACCACGGGGCCTAGGGCGGGGAGGAGCAGAGCTCGACAGGAGCCTCCCCCTTTCCCCAACCCCCGCGGGGCCTAAGCCGGGGAGGGCTCCACACCAGCCTCCCCGCTCCGTGGGGCCTAAGGGGTGGGGGAGAGGCGCCAGACAGTCCTGCCCTCAGGGCCTCCAACAGCCCCAATCCGCCGCCTCTCCCGGGCCGGGCCCGCGCTCGGCGGCAGAGCCCAGCCGGGGCGGAGGAGCTAGAGGCGGTGGCGGCGTGTCGGTACCTTCGCTCGGCTGCGCGGACGGGGCCTGGCGGCAGCTGCCTCCCTCCTCTCGGGGTCGGGTCCGCGGCCGGGCGGCGGGTCTGTAGCGTCTCCGGCTCTGCCCGCTCCCACCCTGGCGGCTCTGGAGGAGGCGGACGACGCGAGGCGCTGCCTGACGGTCTCTCGCTCGCCCCGCGGTGCTGCGCTGCGCAGCGGCCCTTCCCCGCCCTGCAGCTGCGGCGGCGGCGGCCTGCGCCCAGCTCCCCGCCTCGGCCGCTCTGCTGCCCCCGGCGGCGCGGCGGGATGAGCGTCGCCACCGCCCGCTGGGCTCCTGCGGCCGCTCCCAGCTTCCCCGCCCCGCGGCTGCTCGGCTGCTCGCCCCGGCCCGCGGCTACCGGAACGGGCCGTGCCAGCCCAGCTGGGAGCGGCCTGGCCCTGCCCTGCCCGCCCCGCCCCGCCCCGCCCAGAGCGACCCTTGGACCCGCGAATTTCCTTAGGCACAGGAGACTCACTACCCCCCCCAGCCCCGCCCCCACCACACACTAACCCCCCCCACACCACGCCCCCCCGGCCCCACCACACACTAACCCCCCCACACCACGCCCCCCAGCACCGCCCCCCGGCCCCACCACACACTAACCCCCCCCACAGCCCCGCCCCCACACACCCTGGCCCCACCACACACTAATCCCCCCTCCAGCACCGCCCCCACGCCCCAACACACACTAAACCCCCCCCCGCACTGCCCCCACATTACCTCGCCCCAACACACACTCACCCCCCAGCACCGCCCACAGATACCCTCGCCCCAACACACACTAACCCCCCTGCACCGCCCCCACGCCCCCCAGGCCCAACACACACTAACCCCCCCTGCACCACCCCCACGCCCCAACACACACTAACCCCCCCCCCGCACTGCCCCCACATTACCTCGCCCCAACACACACTCACCCCCCCAGCACCGCCCACAGATACCCTCGCCCCAACACACACTAACCCCCCCCCTGCACCGCCCCCCACGCCCCCCAGGCCCAACACACACTAACCCCCCCCCCTGCACCGCCCCCACGCCCCCCAGGCCCAACACACACTAACCCCCCCTGCACCGCCCCCCACGCCCCCCAGGCCCAACACACACTAACCGCCCCCCAGCACCGCCCCCACGCCCCCCAGGCCCAACACACACTAAACCCCCTCCAGCACCGCCCCCACGCCCCCCAGGCCCAACGCACACTAACCACCCCACAGCACCGCCCCCCACGCCCCCCAGGCCCAACACACACTAACCGCCCCCCCCCAGCACCGCCCCCACGCCCCCCAGGCCCAACACACACTAACCCCCCCTGCACCGCCGCCACGCCCCCCAGGCCCAACACACACTAACCCCTCCACAGCACTGCCCCCACGCCCCTCCAGGCCCAACACACACTAACCCCTCCCACAGCACCACCCCCAGCCCCAACACACACTAACCCCCCCCCCCCCCCCACAGCACCGCCCCCATGCCCCAACACACACTAGCCTCCCCACTGCACCCCCCACGCCCCTCCAGGCCCAACACACGCTAACCCCCCCCCACAGCACCGCCCCATACCCCCCAGCCACAACACACACTAACCCCCCACAGCACTGCCCCCATGCCTCCCCGGCCCCACCACATACTAACCCCCCCCCACAGCACCTCTCCCGGCCCCACCACACACTAACCCCCCTCCAGCACCACCCCCCAGCCCCAACACACACTAAACCCCCTCCAGCACCGCCCCCGGCCCCAACACACACTAAACCCCCCTCCAGCACCGCCCCCACACCCCCCAGCCCCAACACACACTAAACCCCCTCCAGCATCGCCCCCGGCCCCAACACACACTAAACCCCCTCCAGCATCGCCCCCCGCCCCAACACACACTAAACCCCCCTCCAGCACCGCCCCCACACCCCCCAGCCCCAACACACAATAACCCCCCCCCAGCACCGCCCCCACACCCCCCAGCCCCAACACACAATAACCCCCCCCAGCACCGCCCCCAGGCCCAACACCCACTAACCCCCCCCCACAGCACCGCCCCCACACCCCCCATCCCCAACACACTAACCCCCAGCACCACCCCCCACGCCCCTCATCCCCAACACACACTAACCTCCCCCAGCACCGCCCCCCGGCCCCAACACACACTAATGCCCCCCAGCACTGCCCCCATGCCTCCTGGCACCAACCCCATACCCCCCAGCCACAACACACACTAACCCCCAAGCACCACCCCCAGCCACAGCACACACTAATCCCCCACAGCACCGCCCCCATACCCCCCAGCCACAACTCACACTAACCCCCCCAGCAGCAACCCCATACCCGTCAGCCACAACACACACTAACCCCCACAGCACCACTCCCATGCCCCGCAGCCACAACGCACGCTAACCCAACTCTGTACCCATTTTCCCCATAGCCACAGCACCACCCCCATGCTCTCCCAAGCCACAGCACCACCCCCATGCCACAGCCACAGCATAGACTTCCTCCTCAGCCACAGCACTTCCTCTTACCCCCCACAGCCACAGCACCACCCCCATGTCTCCCAGAACACATTGCCCCCTCACACCCATGCCCCAGTACACATTCCCCCTATGACCCCCTGCCCCCCACAGCACCACCCCCATGCCCCCATTTCCCTCCTCACTGCCACAGCACCATGTCCTCCACAGCATCACCCCCCTACTCCTGCCAGCCACAGCACACACCATCTCCCCCCCGCCCCACCCCCCAGTCTCCAAACAGCTACAGGTGCAACAGAGATAGCAAGGCTTCACAGAGGTTTGGGGGCGCTTAATGCAAAATCTGAAACAGAAGCCACCCACCCTTTTTTTAAAAAAAAGTGCAAAAACACAGAGGGGAGGCCCGGGGTGGGGTGGGGTGGAGGGGAAGCAGCAGGAACAGGGGTTGGAGAGCCCAGGGCAAATTATCCCTTTGGCCCCCCTCCATCTTTTGGGGTGGTCCTGGTTAGTAGCAACATCAGCAAACTATTTTGTAGCATCCTCAGTATGTCCATAATATACTATCTGATCAGCAGTAATGTAACCCATTAAAGTAAAATTTGATTCCTGTCTTAGAAATGAACTGTGAACCATACCATTACCTTATAGTTTCTTGGTAACAAGCATATAAAAACAAACCACAGGGCAAGATAGCATCCTGCTTTATGGATTTTTTTAAAAAGATCCCACAAACCTTTTGAATTTATTTGGCAGCCAGAACTTACCTTTAGATTGCTACAAAATGGAATTGGGGAGAAAACATTTGATTTATTTGAACCCATGTACTAATCCATGAATGCACAGTAAAAATAAACAACATACAAACCAAAATCTTCAGGCAAGAAAGGGGAGTAAAACAAAGATCTAACCTCAGTTGACTCTTATCATACATCAATAACCTGCTGTATCAACCCTTTTGGAGTACTCTCCAACCCCAGGATTCTCACTAAACTACTTTGAGATAAAGTGCATACTGCATATTGATAAGCTGGTCATATCACTTACATACAATAATTTTGATAGGAACTTACACCTGTTAGAGTACATGGGCCTCAGGTGAAGCCTGAAAACCCCCAAACCATGATATTTTTAAAAAAACGCCCTTGAACACTAAAATCTTATTGCAGAGATATAGAAATGGAATATGACCTAAATTATACATACCTGAGCCTCAAGATAAATGCATCAGGAAGATTCAGATTGAAGAAAAAGCTCTGTGAACCTTCTGTGCCATAAATAAACCATAGATTCCAAGGCCAGAAGATACCATTGTGATCATCTAGTCTGACCTGTATAACATAGGCCATAGAACTTCCGCAAAATAATTGCTAGAGCACATCTTTTACCAAAACATCCAATCTTGATCTGAAAATTGTCAGTGATAGAGATACCACTAGATAGATACAATCCTCCAATTAAAGTGAGCTGTAGCTCACGAAAGCTCATGCTCAAATAAATTGGTTAGTCTCTAAGGTGCCATAAGTACTCCTTTTCTTTTTGCGAATACAGACTAACACGGCTGTTCCTCTGAAAGTTATTCAAGTTATCCCATTCCGCTATGTGGGAGGGAAGTCTGGCCCAAACATAAAAGCCAGTTTTAACATTTGGAATAAAATCTCACATCTGGAGTTCTGCAAACAAACACTCCATGTACCCAAAACTCCAGCAATAATGGAAGGGCAGAACTGTGGCATTTCCTCCTATTCAACCCATAGAAACTCCACTATCATCCCACTAAACTCCTGGGGCCATCTCACCCAATGCAGCTAACACACCCTCCACTGTAATGCATTAAGGGATCAAAAATTAAATCCAACTGAAAGCCTGATTCACTCCTATTTATCAGCACTCCTTGAATTCAGCAACACTAACCTTCTGACCCATGCAGCAAGTAATTTTCCTAAAGGGGTTCAGCTTTCAGAGGTTTTGAAAATGCTGCTCTAGGCTAATACCTAAAACACCCAATGTATGAATCGCTGGGATGAACAATTGAAAAACAACAACCTGGACTGCTACAGAACCCCATACAGAAGTATCACACTAACAGATTACTTCACTACCATGAAACGGTACAAAGCTAAGGCAGACTTTCACCCAATGTAGCATCAACAATGACCACAAACTAGAGGTGGAGACTAAAGACAGACCAAGTGGAGTTCAAGCCTTGAAAGAAGAATCTGGAAAAAAAAGAAAGACTTTCTATTTTAATGTCCAAACCACACAAGAAAACGTAACAAAGATATTTCCTTAGATTATCAGGAATGATACGAGACTTTTCATCAAAAAGCAATGAATGCCTAACCCACACAAAATTGTATCTGTGAACTAAAGTTGATATCTGATTATATCCCAACTACCCCACTCATTGTATTTTTAGATTGTAAGGTCTTTGGGCTAGATAGAGACTGCCTTAGTTTACATTTGAACAGGATCAAGCATAAGGGGATCCTGACCATGATTGGAGCCACTTGGCATTTCTGTAATAAAAAGTAATAATCATAACGAGGAAAGGAGAGATGCCAGTGATGGCATCACACTACTTCGCAATCTGCTGTCTGATCAGGAAGGGATGTTGATGACAGTTGAACATGGCATAAGACCTAGGTCACAGGGTGAAGAATTGTCTTGTCCTTTTGATTACACTAGTACAGGTTGCCATATCAGTAAGTATAGAACCTAACTGATACACATCCCACAAACTGCATCACACATGCATGCCATATACACAAAGTGCTTGGGTGTTCGGCTCGGGA